GAGTGACAGAGTCAAAAGGTCCACGTAGGATCATTAGGATCAAATGTAGGGAAGAGTGTAGATGAAGTAGTTCACGATGAAGCACTTCCTGAGCCGCAGCAGGTAGGCCGGAATGCGAAGTCACGTCCGTAGGTCGAGTAGATGTCGTCGAAGGTGGCAGCGACATGGCAATGAAGCGATGGAGGTGAGCTCAAGTAGAGGGGCATAGATCTTGGGGACGCTGTGAGCCAGGTAGAACCAAAAGAGTAAAGTCCAAGGAATCAATCATGAAAAAGGTGAGACTAACAATTGGGTAAAAGGTGTAGTAAGAGATGTTTTCGGACTCGAGGAAACAGAATAAGCGAGAGACAACCTAGAGATTCCTAGGAGTCGAACGGGAGTGAGACCGGGACCGTGGTAAAGCTGTACTGGAGCGATTGAGTACTGGACGACGTGGACGTAAAGTAGATGGGGTTCTCGGCGGAGGAATCGTAGAAGCGCCCGGAAAGGAACTGGTAGATGGTGTACTCCGTGTCGTAGCCGGGCCCCGAGGAGAGGTAGAAATCATAGGGAAAGAAGGAAGACGAGGGTCAGGAAAAGTCGAACATCCGCGTAATTCAGCATCAACCTGAGTGTTGTCACAGTTCACGGCGTGCATCATCCCAAAAGTAGTGAGAAGTTCGTTGACATAGTGCACTCCGTTGTGGATGGCCTGAGTCGCTTGCCGAATAGCAGAATCCAGACCTCGAATTTGTAGCTGAATATGCGGTGAGGTGATGTAGTCCATGAAGGAGGGGTTGAGAATGGCGAAGCGGGTGCGAAGAAGGGAGACAGCGAGAATCAACAAACCATGTAGATGAAGAATTTCTCGATGTAAGATAGTCTGGGCTCGCATCGTGATGCCGTCCACGGGTTGAGGCCAGCTGGAGAAGGGAACATGGCAAGAGGAGAAGGATCAGCTGAAAACTAAGGCTCCAACAGGTTCCAATGAACCTCAAAAGTACTTCGGTCGCTCTGACCACGTTGAGGCGTTAAGCCAGCTTGGACCGCTGCGGTCACGTAAAGGCATGAGCCAACTTGGAATTCCAAAGATGAGACAAAATTTGAGTTCTTGTGGCATGAGCCAGCTACTGTCCGCTGCGGACACGTACATCTCCGGGCAGGGGAGATAACGACGTACACCCGTTCGACGGGTCCACGGGAGGCACTCTGCGGGCTCATCCCGGGTTGGCACGAAGCCAAACACACTCGTGGATATGCGTACTGATGTGAATGCGGTGCCACACGCCGGCCTAGGGTTCCATTTCCTAAGGGTACCAGTAAGAACCATCGGAGCCTGGGGGACTTCAAGAGGAAGAAGGGCCAAAGTCTCAAGGCGACGACGAAGCGACAAAATGACGACGATCGTGCTTGTCTGCCGAGTGAGGTTCTGGGCTTAGCCTCGTGCCATTCACAAGAATCGGAAAAATCGCAGGTACGTTCGGATGATCAGTCCGAATATCCCACTCTGTGACCTAGCTTCGTTGAACTGGGTCAGTCACAGAGTGCCCAGTTCCCCCGCTAAAAGCTCAAAACAATCCGAAGGATCCCTATGATTCCAAGGGTTACACGCACACACGCACGCCATCTTACCACACACACACACCTCCTCCCTCCCCTCCTTCTCATCCTCGTCCATCACATCATCACTTATACTACACGTCTTAGCACAACCGCCTCATATACCTTCTCTCCTCACACTTCGTTCTTGACTTTTCATCTCACTACTCCGTCTCCCATGTGATGTTCATATACAATTGAAATTTGTAAAACTTATCATGTGGGGTTATCCGGTCCTTTTATTCTTCAACACGTGCGGAAGCATACTCGTCCATCCTGCCTTATTAAACCTGACCCTATCATATACCATATTCTTTAAGGTTCTGATGAAGCGTTCTACAATTACAACGTTGGCATGTGTGAGTGTGATGATGTGATTAATACCTTCGGCATCAAAGAACTCTATAACAACGCTCTTGAAAGCACCGTCATCATCGCTATAAATTGACATCGGAAACCCCATCTTCTTAAAACTCTCTTTCAATGCTGGTAGGACTGATGCTCCATCTTTGTTTTTCATAGGCACGGCATTAGCCAACTTACTAAAGATGTCTATGACAACTAACGCATTTCTTGGTTCAGTGTTCTTTCTTGGAATTTTCACTTATGGTTCTCTGGTCAGCGGAACAATATCCATTATATCAATTTGATATTCAAGCCTTGAGAACGGGGTGGTATATGAGTTTGAGCCTCTAATCTGTTTGTTGGGTTGTTTCTTCATGAAGGTTTCTACATCCACTCTTGTTATGGACGGGTCTTTGTCTTTTGCTTGTTTTTGGGGTGTCTTGGATAGACCCGAAACCTTTTTCCAAATCATAATAGGCATTGCTCATTATCTGTTCTTTTGTTAATCTTCGTGCCATATTATACTATTAGATTTTAATATATTTCTTCAAAAAGTAGAATACCAACCAGAACACCAAAAATGAACCAGCCACCAAAAACTACTTAAAGAAAAATTACCTATATATGTTGAGAGATGATTTTTACTTATGGAAACTGTAGATATTGTAGAAATAAAGTTTCAACGTGAAGGTTCTATTAAACTACATGTTCCCCGCCGGTATTTGCGATATGATATGTGATTACAACACCCACTGTTTCAAATGTAATAACTTACTCTTCAAGGAAAACGGATACAACAAATACACCCACGGTAGACATACAACCGTGGAAAAGCAAAGAGGTTTCTTCCAAACAGAGATGCCGACACCCATCTATTTAAGCGACACTAACCAAACACATGTTAGAGCGATGAGAAGGGAAATAGACGTGTTGATGGGCACAATGGCACTGAAGGAAAGGTTTCAACACGATAAGATGTTTCTACAGGCAATCAAATCGTATGTAAAGAAGAACTGGAAATATACCTATCACATCCTCTATTCCTTTCACGAGCTTGATATTATGGCGTATATGAGAAAGATACGAATTTGGTGGTTTCCTAACCTTGAAGGGACTTATGTTTTTAGAAACCGAGCATTCATAGTAAAGGACATCTTGGAAATCATCTTGCGCGAATACCTCAAAGAACTTTTTAGATACTACGAGCACTACATCAACGAAACAGAAATAGAAGAGCACCTACAAAAAGTGATAAACACTTAAAGAAAGAATACCTATATATATTAAGAGAAAATGACAAGCGCTAAAATTTATTATATGAGTGAAGTATCAGAAAATTTAGGATTGTATGTTGAAGTCGGAAGTGAAAGTGAGAATGAAGACTGGGAGAGAGAACAAATAGAAAAAGAAGACGAAGAGATTAGAGACTTTGTAAAGTGTCATCAGTTGCCTTCAATAGATTATGAGGGTGATAATCCCTTCTGGCTTAAAACAAATCATAGAATGAAAGATGTTGGAAAAGTAGATGCTATTGTAATCTTTGCTTATGTGGGTTTTGAAACTATAAAAATAGAATGTATGAAAACATAACTGACAAAAAGGTTATAACTGAATGTAGAAAGAAACTCAACAGTGAAGGAAAAAGAGACGCTATGATTATAAACTTAGCTTTACTATCATTCGCGATGGTTGAACTAGACAGTGCTGATGTTGAACGGGACAATGCGGATAAACTTATATATCACTACACAACTAAGGGTAATAGAACACTGGTGGGATGGAATAGGAACGTGGAAGGCGTAAAAGTACAACATAACTATAGACTATACATCATAATTTTTTACAGCCTATAACCACAGCAAAACTACAACCTATAAACCCCAACCCCGAGAAAAAACATAACACGCGAAACAAAAAGTAGCCTCATTGAATAAAAAGATATTGATGAACAAAATTAGAAAATGTCTCACAACCATCCTCAGGAAAAACATCAAAGGCAAAGTCCATACGTTGAACTTCAACATAAAATCCTATAAGGCGAACATACGACGAGACTGTCCTAGAACCAACCTTTTACCATTTTTTCCCCCACACCCCCTTTACTCACTTCGTTCGCACAACCCAACTTCAGCTTAGCCTATCGGCTGGCTTTCGTGATACATGTAAAGGGTGCTACACACGTATTGCGTAGACACGTCTAGGGGGACCTAGAGCCCTACAAATCACAGGGGGGTGGGTTGGGGTGGGCTATTGCAATGATTTGCCCATGGCCACGTCATCACACCAGCATCATGGGTGGGGCGGCGACGCAGGAGCTACGGCGGGTCTACGCAATGTCAAAAGGCACCTGCGCGAACGATGTTGTTTGAATGGTGCTTACGCCAGTGCCTATCCCAACCTGCCCAGGAACGCACTCAACACTGCTTTGCGCAAAGTGGCCATACTGTGCAGGCGTGAAGGGTTGCTCAGTTCGAGTGCTGTGCGTGAGTACACTAGCAATGGGCAGCATGCAAAACGCCTACGCACAAAGCATCACCAGCATCATGGATGTGGTGGGCTGGGGTGTGCTACGGGCAAATCGGCATCACAAGCGACGTCATAAGCGAGGGAATTTTCGGCGTCACAAGCGAACGCCTCACCCGTGCACGCCGTCTGGCCGCAAGGGATTCTTGTCACATTTCGCTGCAGCGATGTCAAGTGAAGATTTGAGAGACCAAAGATGTTCTTGGTTGGCATGTTGTGGACGTGTGGTCTTCACACCAGTGGGACCACTACTTATTCGTCCTTCGTGCTCCTTATCAATATAGAACAACACTCCTCTCAACTTGGTGTGTGCGAGCCGTGTCCCATGGACACTTCTATACCATGAGGCCTTCACTGTGAGAGTTGCTGCAAATTTGGTTCGTTCGCCGCCTGGTGCCACCCGGGGCGAATTCATACTCAAGAGACACCTAGACAAAGAGAAAAAAGAGATACAGAGATACATGCCAAGCATTGCCAAGCTATGTTTTGCAAGCATTGCACACCTCGAAGAACTTAAGAAATGTTCCTACATTGACCTGCAACTCTGCAGGCCCTCATTGAAGCTTCGCGTCGTTCTTTCCCAAGGGCTTCTCCAACTCCACGCCAAACCATTCGCCCTCGGCAAACTTCGTCTGCCCCGCAAACCGCACCGTGCCCGGGCTGTTCTCCGCAGGCCTGCTCCGATCAAAGCACCGTGAGGACACGTTCGACCAACCGCGGAACGGAGCGGTTCGACCAACAAAAGCCGGCCTCACCAGCACCCGATCACCGACAGCAAACGCTTTGGGCATCTTTTGGGCCTTAGAAGACAAGTATCGCATGCGCAACTTAGGGTCCAGGGCCCCAAGAAAGCAGGTATCAGGTATCAAAGCAAACGAACGAATAATGTGATCTTGTTTCTCTAGGGCCTTAGGCCTTAAAACTATGAAGGTTCTGCACCTCGACTTAACAAATAAATGTGCTGTGAAGCCACGGGCGAAGAAGGGGCCGGCAACGTTGGCCGGCCGGTGGCCTCCTTGTCCTGACAAAAGGCTTACACATGGCGAGGCGTTGAGGCATGTCCAGGTCTAGTTGCAAAGATGTGTTTAGTTTGTCCGTCCTCGATCTTCTGCACCTTCACAGCGCGCACAAAAAGACCATGGTTCACCCGGGCGTTGAAGTAGCTGACACCTTGTACCTTCACAAATCAAAGAGAGTGTCAAATGGCGCACCAGTGTTTAAACTGATCACTGATCACTCTGTTTCGTACACGGAGAGCAGGGCACAACACCCAACGCTTTGGGGGGCACTGTTCCATCATTCTTTCCTTTGGGATCGTCCAGCTCAACGCCCAACCATGTGCCCGCTGCAAACTGGGTCTCTCCGATAAAAAGCACAAGACCTGAGCAGCAGGAATGTCGCTGACTGGGGGAAAATGGGTGCTGCTGTCTGGCCTGGCAGCGGATCTTCTCCCTCCACTGCCTTCACCAACACCCGGCATCCTACAACAATGTCAGGTGGCACCGGCGCCAGCGACGCTCGCCTCGGCTTTCAGACACTCCACATTCATTGCGGTTGCACAACCAGAACAAGGATCGCGTCGACAATTCGCCAACGGAGGGCCCCAAGTAGAGTTCGTTGATTGGTGACAAGGATCGATTTCGCCGCAGTTTTCCGTGCTGCACCCTGCACCTTTGCTGACAGCCTCATTTCACAGAACCACTTTTGCACCACCAAGCCATTTCAATAGTCACTACGGATGACCGGCATGGCAGGGAAAAATCTCTCAACACGGACGTTTGTTTGGTTGACTGTGGTGGGTGCTTTGAATTGTTGTTTGTTGGTTTTCCTGTCAATGGCTCATCCTCCAAACACATCCAAAAACACGTTTGTTTGAATCTTACAAGAAGGATTCAGTTCGACTGCAAATTCCCGGTCTGATATGACTGCCAAGCAAGCCAATGCTGCAGGATGCCACACGGTGGTTGCCACCAAAGCAGAACGACTATGTCAAACCATCTGTAATGTTTGGTTGTTTTCGCGCGCACACAATCCACACAAACATGGACCTGCGTTTACATGGCATAGGCGCAAACAAGCTTCTTTGCGCTTACGTCTGATGACTCTGGCATGCACGCCACCACGAGGTGTAGGCTCAGACACCCAATGTAATGGAAGGCGCATAAAAGTACAAAAGCCAATCGTAGCCTTCTATGAATCAACCTGCAGTGCAGCTCTAGAACCGAAAGAAGGCAATTTCATCATCTCAGACAGTATGACAATCTTGCTGGACACTGCTCGACACTGTTCTAGGACACTTCTGTGCGACTCACGCACTTGTTTCTTGTTTAGCGGTCTGCGCCCCAAGATATGTTAGCTGCGGATACCCTTCCAGGTCAGATCCCGATCTGGTCAACAGCTTGAACTTCTTGATGGCACGATCTAGCAAGAAACTTGCTAGTTTGCTGAACCCCTGCAGCAGCTAGGCTAATCTCAGCAACTATCGGATAGAAGCTCGCAGGCTGGCTGGTGGCTTGATTTAGGTCATGCCCAGGCATTGATGTCCAATACACAGTTGGAGCAACATTTCGTATTTTAGATGGCAACACCTCCGCAAGGTCAGTGGGTGTGATGCGATTGGTTGAAGCAGAACACATGAAATCTTTTAAAAAACTCAAGGAAGAAGTCTCCTGAAAATGCTTAGCTGCATGCATACGCTCCATTACGCTCCCATCTATGACACTCCTTCTTTTCTGCATCTGCGCTTGGCCCTATATGCCGTGAAACGGAGCGTCCATCACGGACGCTGCAAGGCCCCAAGCCCGCCGCGCAGCAAATGTTCGCCCAACCATTTTGGTGGGAGGCCCGCCTCCGCGGTGGCCAGGGCAGCGCCGGAGCCGTTGCACGAACCCGGTCCGGAAGGTGAGTAAAATCTAAGAGAACGACGGTTGCTCAAGGTCAGAATGTGGAGCTTTGGAGGAAAAAACAAGCAAACGCCACTCACCGGGTTCAGGAATTCGACATTCTGCCAGTGATCATCCCGCATTCTCAATGAAGCCCGCACAAGCCTGAAAGGATAAGGCCGAGTCTATCGAATGCAGTTTTTCTTGCGCAGATTTAAGCCTGACAACGACCTGTGAGTTCCAGGTCTTGCGCAGTGATTTCAGCCAACTGCTGCCAAGCAGCAGTGCGTAGCCTGAACGCCACGGGCAGATGTCTTCAAGAACGGGTCGTGTTTCCCACAGAAATGCCAAAGGGTAATGTAATGACAATATATGACAATGACTTCTGACGTGAGATGTCACACTTGCGCTCTGTGGATGTTCGTGGAAACTACCACTGCCTGTTGGATTCCGCAAGGCCTTGACTCTCCAAGAGCTAAGTGTCCAAACTGGCTCAACTGTTCCTTCATACCGATATTCCATTGCCCTGCAGCCATCAGCTGCCAGTCTGCCACCCTCCGATGCCGCGGCAGCGCCTGAGATCTCTTTTGACAGACTCCACCTCCTTCTGCTCCAGCTGCTCAGCCTACAAAGGGCCAAGCTCCGGCCCATCGAAACGTCAGGGGTGGATCCCCGTCAACCGGATGGGCAAACAGTTCTTCCGGTCCTTCATGAAGTCCGCCAACGTGGCAGAAGGCTTCATCAATGCCTTTTGCCATGGCCTGCGACAACGTCTCGCCACCCGATTGCGGAATGCTGGGCTGCTGGGGTCTTGCATCCGTGTCTTTTGCTTTCGAAGCCAGCTTCTCAAAAAGCTCGTTGTGCCCCCATAAGTGAGACAAGCTATAGGGGTCCAAAATGTATAAACAAAAGCTGGCTGTTTCCAATCCATTGTTCGAGGGGATTCTAATCTATTCATTTTTGTCACTGCAGTTCTGACCATTTGGGCCAATGTGTTTAACCGCCTGGCCTCACCGCCTGCTGATTCGACTGCCCAGCCATTTTGAGGTTCGCCTCGTGCAGGGACTCGCGCAGGCTGGCCAAACGGCTACAATTGGACCTGCCAATCGCTGGAAGGAAACACAGAGTGCCCAGCCCAAATGGCCTGAAGGCTGCACAACATCAAAGAATGCTGCACAAGAACTGCAAAACAAACTGAACATTCTTCCAATCTTGACAAACCACACTCCTTGAAAAACCATCTCTTTTCTGGACTTGCCAGTCGATGTCCAGAACCCGCCACACGCGATGTCCAGACCCGACGGCCTGAGGTGGAACTCGGCAGCGATGGGGCTCCACTTCTTGGGGTCCACGGCCCCTGCTTCTTTGTCCCTGGGCGAGTGCTAACTCGGAAAGTTCAAGCATGCATTGCAAAGTTGCAAAGTGCATTGCATTCTTCACTCCAAAGTGACCCTCCTGCAGTGCGATCTTACGACCGAAATGCCCACCCAAGCCAGGGGATCAAAGCCCAAGCTGTCCAAGGGGCACTTTCGGCTTTGTGCCGAACTTGATCTCCACGCGCCCCCAGCTCAGTACAATGATGCGAGTTGAAACTTGCGGGAAGTCCTGTCAGCCGCTAACAGTGTGGGAACCTCTGATTTTACATTTTCTGGTCCAGCGCTGAGGGAGCAAAAACTCACATCTGGCAAGCAATGTTGAACACCACCAGAACACACGATGGTTCCGAAAGAAGCCGCCGCTAGGCATTGGAGAACCCCTTGTGTGCTCTTTTGCCTTGCGCCAAAATAGGATGCCTTCGACAGACACAAGGATATTCGACAAAAGTTCACTCGCAGTGGTCACCCTCTTTTCAGCACGTGGCCCTCTTGAAACGCGGTAAGCACCTTTTCGATGCCTTGATTTGGGCCTCAAGTTCAAAGCGTGGTGTCCTAGCATGCCTGATGCCACATGACCTCAACTCAACCTCATGAAATCCTTTCCAAATTCAACACGGTCCCCATGGCATCAGGAATGCAATGTGCACATGGTTTTAGTGTTCGGACACTCGTGCTATTCACAAGATGTCCGCACCCATGTTCGTGATAACACGAACTAGTCTTACCGATGTGCCAAAGCTTGCGATCTAGGGTGAACTTTACTTCCTCAAGGCGATCTCTCAGTTCATCTTGTCCTTGTCTCTGGCATTCCGTGACCCGCTTCTTCCACACTTCGGCAACTTCCCATGCTCGGGCCACTTCTTCTGCCATGCTTTCCATTTCTCGTGCTCGTTCATCATCAGTCCCAGCCACTTGAATGGCTCTCTTTTGGGCCTTCTCTTTCTCTTCCTTCGCCGCCTCGAGCTCAAATCGCAGCTCAGAGCACATGTCGTACATTCTCACCACTTCTCGCGTTTGTCGGTCACGCTCTTCTCGAGCCTCCTTCAATCTTTCTTCTTGCTCAGCCACCACTACCTCAAGGCGAACTATTTGCCACTGCATGTTCACCTTCTCAAGGTCATTCTCGTAGTGTGGCTCTTCATGCTGGTCGGTGCTTTCCTGCAATCCTCTTCTCACATGCGGGTCATCCGCATCCTCCTCTTCTTCACGTCGTTGCACGGGTTGTCGATGGCCTCGTCTCCTGCTGCACCATGTCTGCACTGCCTGCAAAGTCAGCCGTGCCAAGCTCAAGGCCCCAACACTTGCCAAACAGATCATAGTGATCAGCAGCCGAACCCACCATGTGTCCGTGCCTTCATTCTCTTCTGTCTCATACTCCTGAGTGTCTGCCCCTTGACCCCCTTGCAGTAGAGACAATGCGATCACCACTGCAACTCTTGCATTTGCTCCGAGGGTCTTCGCTAGCTTGCCGGTGTTCTTCTTCAGGTCCTCTTTCATCTTTATCTCCTGGTACTCGGCATAGCCAATCTTCTCATCGTCTCCATTGATCATCTTGATGAGGTATTTCAATCCACTCATCCTTGCTTTGCTCAAGACCTTCGCGCCGATGTCGCTGGTGTTGACTGCCGTGGGAATTCCAGTAACTCTTAGCTCTTTGGACCCTACCTTCTGTTGCAACCATAGGAGTCCTGCTGCGATGTGTCGCGTCCTTCCGACACCAACTCGGCCAGCCAAAGAGCGAGCTGCCGATGAGTCACTTCGGCATACCATCTCCAGATCTTCGTTGGTCAGGAACTTCCAGCAATGCTTGATGAACAGTCCCTCACTGCAGCCTCCGACCATTGCCACATACTCACTCTCTCCTGACGACAAGGCAATGGATCGTTGAGTCCTCACATAGCTCTCCAGGAGGCATCCATCCAAATAGATCTGGACTGAGCTCACACTCTTCCTGCTGTCTCTCTGCCCTGCATAGTCAGCATCGCACACCACTTCCAGCATGCTCTTCACCTCATCGTTGATGTCCCACTCGTAGACGTTCTCCTCGGTGTTCAGCATGCTTCGGCCTTTGGGTCCATGCTCAAACAAAAGGCCTTCGTCCACCGTACCCAGCAGGTACGAGCTGACATGTCTCATGGCCTGCCAGCTCTTCTTCGTGGGCTTTTGCATGAATGCTGCCAGGCCTTGGGCAATGTACTGCACATCAGGTCGATCAGGGGCAATGTAAAGCAACTTGCCAACTGCACTCCTGTAGATGGCGATCTCGCTGTAGTCCAAAGGGTCGTCATCCTTGCTCAGCTTGGTGAAGTTGCCATCCCCGGGTGTAGACCTGCATTTCCTTTGTTCGACCTTTGTCAATCGTGCAAGCTCCTTGATGTGCTGCTTGTCCGGTCGGATTGTGATGCCTTTGTCGATCAGATCCATCTCTCTCTTCAGGTAGTTGAAGCTCCCTGAGTACAATGGCCCTCGTTTCTCCGTTTTCCAGCCTTTAGTGTCCATGTACTTGATGAACTTTTCCACTTCAGCTTCGTGCCCAATCAACAGCAAGTCATCCACGTGGATGGTCAGATAGAGCTTGCCGTTCTCCTTCATCTCATTTGGACCATCAGGCTTCTTCATCATCGTGGGCTGCGTCACATCCTGGACCAGTCCGAACTCCTTTGCTACCTTGCAGAATCCTTTGAACCATTGGGCCGCAGCATTTCTCTGACCAGGCTTCAGCCTGTAGGTACCGTTCTCGGTCACGATCATCGCCTTCTCATCCTCAGGCTGGTCCATGAGCAGGAATGCATCCTTCACGTCCAACGTGTAGAGGGCCAAACCAGTCCTCATCTGCAATCGAAGGAGCATTCTTACCACCACTGAAGCTGATGTAGGAGCGAAGGCGTCCTCTGTGAAAACTGACCATTTAAACTGTCTCCCAACCAGGCGTGCCCTTCTAAACCAGCCACCTTGCTCGTCTCGGTGCTTCCAAGTGATGACCATCTTCGACGTCAGGACATATGAATCCTCGTCAGCAACTTCTCCTTCCTTCAGCTTCTCAAGAACACCCATCTTCTCAAGGCGCTCTTCTTCATGCTTGCATGCCTCCGCATCTAGCTTCATCAGCTCCTCCTCATTGACTTCCGGAGGCTTTCCTTTGCTCACCTCGACGTCCTCATCATCACTGGCATTATTGAGCTGCTGTTGCAACACCTCCTCGGCCACCATCTCATCTCCGCCAGGAAATTCCTCTTGGACACTCTGGATTCTCCTCTTTGGGCTCATCCTCCGCTTCTCATCATCTTCATCGTCCCAAGGCAGAGCATACTCTCGCTTCGTTCCAAGTGGGGGTGTCACTGGTGCAAGGTTTCCAACAACTTCTTCCATTCTCTGCCTCTTTGGACTTGTCTCCACCTCGTGAGGTCCTGGTGGGAAATTCCTTGCTGGCTCTCCTCTCATGGCCTCGGGAATTGGGAGCCTTACCACTTTTCTCTTTGGGCTCTCATCATCATCTGCTGCCAGTGGGATTCGAGGGAGTTCTCGAGGTACCAACGGTCTGCTGCTCTGGTCACCTGCCGGTACATGCCTTGCTGGTGTCTTGGGTGCAGCTGCTGTTGCTGGTGTTGCGGGAACCGGCACAATGGTTGGTGTTCGTGCTGCTGTTGTCCTTGGTGCCGGAGTTGGTGCCGTGGGCGTCCTACCTGGAGTCTTCGGGTATCCATCTGGAGGAACACCTGGTGTGTTTGGTCCTGCAATGGGTCCATGACCATACATGCCAACAGCCACTTGCTCTCCGACCAGTTTGGCCTCCTTCTCCACCTGCTCGTCGCCCACTGCATCCTCTGCCGCATCTGCCAGTCGTTGGCGTGCTGCAAACTTTGTCTTCATCAGGATGCCTTGCACAGAGTACTGCCATGGAAGACCTCGGCAGTTGATCAACATTTGGCCGTCAAACTGATCGGGGGTAGGCGTCGAATAGATCGAGCCTCAACTGCACCACTCCGTGTCAAGCAGATGTGACTGTCGCTCCAGGAACTCTTTCCGACCCATACTCCTTTCCTGTACACGGGCTCACCCTTGTGCTTGAAGGCTGTGACATCCTTGAAGAGCACTGTCTCTCCCCAGAGAGCTACCTTGCCCACATAGCGCCTGTCTGTCAACACTTCAAAGGACGTGGCTCCATTGATCACCCTGTACCTGAGCATCAGCCATGCAGCATGTCGAAAACTCCACGGATAGCAATGCATATCTCCAGTCAGCTTGACTCCGGTCTTTTCCTCCGCGAATTGGCGTAGGGTGTTCGCCAACCTTCTCACCGATTGCACTGTCCGCTCTGCCTGGCCATTGGATGCATGCTGATCTCGGGATGTTGTTCTGATCTCCGTGGTCAGGCCAAGTGTAGCTCGTGCATGCTGAATGGCCCTCAAGATCTGGCGTGTAGCTCTTTCTCCATCAGACTGGAAAATGATGGGTTGTGTATTGCAAACCTGCATGCTGAATCTGGTAAGCTCTTCCGTCACTTGCTTCAACGAGGCACTCCCCTTTGCTTGAACTGGGATGCACATGGTGGCTTTGGACTCTGATTCCGCCACATACAAAGCTGTGCCCCACTGTCGATCTTCAGGAGCACCAGTGGTGTATGTGAACCCGTAGTCAAAGCTAATCACGGGTCTTCCTCGGTCCTTCCGGTCAGTCTGATCCTCCTTTGTCCTGGGATCCTCTCTCGACCGAGTAGCGACGCACTGCTGACACCAGGACTGAAAAGGCAAGTGCGTGAGTTGATGAAGCTCTTGCTCATGACGGCTTGGCAGCTTTGGTGTTGTCAGCGGGATGGCCTCTCGTCTGCTCTCACTGAACAATCTTTGAGCGACCTCATATGCCATCTTCTCCTCCTGGTGGTGCTTGTAGCTTTGGAGTCGCCGCAACACCTTGATCTTGGAACCGGATGTTGCCAAGCCCAACTGCTTGCAAACCTCTTGCAAATCCTTCAACTTTGTCTCCTTGTCAAACCAGGCTTCATCTATCTGGATCCTCAGTTCATCAGGGTCCACAAAGGCAACATCCTCCACGATCTCTGGTCGTCCGCCACTTCCAGCGGCCAACATTGGCAATTCACCTCCTTCTTCATCCCTCTCATCGTCCGGCCACGAGGATGGCTCCCCGCTCAACAAGGGATACTGGCTCACTGGGACCTCAGAGCTGATCACGAAGTAGTCACGGATCAACCCCGGTGCAACGAATGTCAAAGCTGCACGAGGTCCTCCTGGCAGTGGTCGATAGGGCAACGGGGTGTCCACATAGTTTGCCAAGCTCTCTACCTGCTCCCATGCTCCACTGTTGTCCTTCTTCTTCAACAATGTCATCCGTCCGCACCACTCTGGACCAAAGGAGAGACTGGGGTCCAGAAAGTGAGTTGCTTGTGGACTGGAGTGGACAACGATGCCATTGGGTAGAGCGTGCCAGCCAGGCATCCTTTCCAGCAACGCGAGTTCTCTCGAGATGAACCCGTACAAACTTGCTGCTTCTCTTCGGACAGGAAACACCCGATTGTCGTCCGTCACCTCTGCCACTGGGCTGTCAGATAGCTCCATGGGCTCCTCCTTCACCATGCCTGTCCGTAGTTTCCAATTCTGCCACCTTGCCATGCGAGCTTGCACTCTTCCATCTTCACTGCTGCTGGCTTCCACAATGACATCTCCAGACTCTTCTGTAGTATAGCCCGGCGATCTCTGGCTATCCTCAACCTCTTCACCTTTCAGCTTCTTCGCAGGGGCTTCCTCGACACGATCTGCTGAGGCATCTGGCTCCACCTGTTGAGACAGTTCCTGCATCAAGGCCAGCATCTGCTGGTCTTCTTCCTCATTCTTCTTGTCCTCCTCTTTCTCCTCAACACTTCTCTTCACTCCTCTATCCACGAAGTGGGTTTCCGCTGCCAGCTTCGGGGCATTCTCACGGCTGTCTCTATCATTCGAAGCCATGGCCTCCATCTCTTGCATCTCATTGTCCTCAGCTCGGACTGCACAAACTCTCACATCCATGACCAGCGAATTCCGTTCAAGCCGAGCTGGGATCATCAAACCCTTCTCCTTGTGCTCCACATAGAGACCTTGGCTGTCTCGAGATAGCACCCAGCCCTGCTTGAGCAACCGTCCGAAACTCATCAAGGGGTGTGTCACACCTACACCCAGCGCAAACTGTTCCACGAACTCTACCATCTCGCCTGCTCTGGTGTAGGCTTGAAGTCGAAGTCGCCTATTTCCAGCGCTCTTGATTGCACCTCCTTGAGCATCCATCATGCAAACGGAACGTTGCTGACCAGGTAGTCCCAGGGCGTAGTACTGCTCTGGTGCCACTGACACATCCGCTCCCGAGTCAAGCGTCATCACGACGTTGGGAGTCTCGTCCCTCACCATGCACACATTCTGAATTTGGCCCGTGACATCTTCGGATTGGGCTCGCAGGGCATCACTTCCTGTGTTCTCCATCGATGAAGTCCTTGTCGGCGCGCTCTCATCGCCACTCTGGCACTCGTAGAAGATCTCTTCCATCTCATTCGGATCCTCATCGCACTCCCGGATGGCCATCACCTGTAGGCCTAAATCATCATCCTCCTCCGCCATCAGCTCCTCAGGAGAGTCGTCCTGAGTCAGGTCGAAGATCTCCATTGTAGCCAGTCCGGTCGGCGTGACCAATCTCACCCTCCTGACTCCTGCTCTGTAAGTAGAGTGGGAGGATGGAGTAGCTGACGCCCCACTCGTCTGGCCTTGATCCTTACCGTGCTGTCCAGCTGATGCGGTCTTGTTCAACTCTTGCCCTTCTTGATCTTCCACCTTGTTCACACGTTTCGGGCTCCAGCACTCCCGAGCAAAATGCCCAGGCTTGCCACAGTTGTGGCACACTCCATTGCCACCTTTGCCTTTCTTGCCATCTTGCTTTCCTGAGCCCTTCGAACTCTTGCCGCCCTTCTTGCCTCCATCTTTGGACCAGGAAGTCTTGCCCGTTGAACTTTTTCCTTTATCTTTGCCCTTCTTCCCTTTCTTGCCACCCTTCTTGCTTCCTTTCGACCACACGGCATCGATCTCCATGGGTCCTCCTTGGTCACCTTGATCCATCAAAGGCTTCACACCCATCTGCAGGCCTCCATCACTCGACCATCGTTGACTCACCTGCTCATACATCTCAATGCGCTGCCTCAAATCCTCAAACGTGGTGTCATCTTGCAGCGTCATCTGTATATGAAGCCTGAGGGTGGACGGAAGGGCTGACAACACCGAGGCAATCTTTAGGTCGTCCGGGTACGTGACATTTGCACTGCGCTCATACTCCCTGACCATCAAGTCATACTGTGGCAGCTGCTCGGTCACAGTCTTCGTCCCGTCAAACTGGATCTTGTTCAGGGACTGGATGAGTGCAAGTGAGCGCTGCCTTGTCCTAGGTTGAAGGTCCTTGGTGATCACTCTCCAGGCCTCGAGACCATTCTGGTTGGCCACACCTCTCACAAGTCGAAGGGGTCTCTGTTTCATGAGGCCTGTCAGGAGGGAGTACAATCTTTCTGACTGGGGCCTGACCGAGGGAAGTCCATCGTTGATCGAGTTTTCTTCTTTGTCGGCTTGCTTCATGTGGGACAGCATGGATGGGTCAACAGCCCCTATAAAGGTCTCGAACTGGAATCTCCAATCCATCCATTTGTTGAGCTCGTCACCACGGTTCTCTGGGGCAAACACCGAAGGGGGGTTCAAGTGCTTCGTGAACCCCGCGCTCCTCTGGACATCGATCAAGCCGTGCAAGGCTTGGACCAGCCCCTGCACCCCAGCCAGGGCACCACCATTGGACGCAGCCGCAGCCCCACCAGTGCCGTCGGGCTCGGCTGTGTCCCCCATGAGCGCGACCCGGATACTAGTCCACTCGGGATTTCAGTGGACCGTCTATCCCCGGTGGGTTTTCCCCCAAGAGGGTCTCCGCTGGAGTTGACGGGGGCTGCCCGTCAGAGCTCCGCTACCATGAAACGCGGTAAGCACCTTTTCGATGCCTTGATTTGGGCCTCAAGTTCAAAGCGTGGTGTCCTAGCATGCCTGATGCCACATGACCTCAACTCAACCTCATGAAATCCTTTCCAAATTCAACACCTCCCCAAATCAACCTCCCACGGTGTCACTGGCTCCTTGGGGATACGAACTTCAGCTACGCCATGCACCAGGTTCTCAAAGGTCCCTTCAGCTGTGCGTCGGCCCCACTTTCTGCCAGGACCAGGCAGTGACATTCTGACCATGGGTGACGGTATGCAGTGAAAGCACATGTGTTGCACACATGCCTAGGACTGATGAAGCTGCAACGTTCCTGAACAATTGTCCCGCAACATGAGCGACTTTGGACTCCCACAATGCAACTCAATTGTATTGCTGAAGGGTGAAAACTATGTTACAGTCATTGAGTCATTGGGTTGGAGGAACGGCTCGCACGTGCAACACAGCCCCGCCAATCCGCAACCTCCCCCACACATGTCCACGCCTTTCGGTGACATAGTCCAAAGGGCAGCAATAGCTAATCCGAAACAAGGGTCCATCCGGATGTCCGTCGTCAGCATCTCGCTTCATCCCTTTGATACGGAAGGGTGGCCGCAAATCCGTCCAGAAATTGAACTGCTGCCTACTCTGCTTACTGCTTGGCCTGGCGAAGGAAGAGCTGCAGGTGAAAAGGTTTTACTGCACGTGTGGGGAGAGTGGAGAGGGAGAATTCCGCATACACAACCCATATGGGTCCCATCAGACCCACATGAAACTGACCCAAAATCCCTGCTAGGCAGCCTCACCCCAAAACACTGCAAGACCACTTCATTCATATCAAGTCACACTTGATCCGTGTGACCCAGCGCTGCCCGCATGCCACGCATACGGTAGTAGGCCCAGGAGAGTTTGTGTTCCACTGCCGCTGGCGAACGGATCGCGCAATCAGAGCTCCAGTTAGGGATGCAGCCGTTCACAAATTCTCGGCCATCATCAATGTTGGTCCGGAGCACCTCTGGTCAGGCTTGAAGGGAGGCAAGCCACAATGCAAAGAGCGCCGAACCCTCCACCGATATCAATCCAAATCAAAAATAACCTCCAAGGGCTCATGATCCTTTCAACATACCCGGCCTCCCCGTCTAAGCCCCTCTCTTGCTCCCTCCATGCACCACCCAGCGGGAACCAGATCTTGCTACTATAAGAGCTCTCGCGCAACGAGTCGCCAGGTTGGGTGGACTTGGTGTAGAAAGAGGTGTTGTGGGGCGACTGAAGGACCGGCAACATAGGCGCCTCAGCACGTGCGAACCACTTTCACGCCTTCCCTTCAACACACCGTTCCTCCAATCTAGGGGCGCTACTTGGAACTTGCGCAAAAACCCACAAACAGGACGACAAACGGCCCGAGAACGAAAGAAACTACAATAAACTACACAAGGAAGTGAGAATGTGTGTTGCGTTTCGAGGGCGCTTTAATGAAAAGTTGTGAGAGGACAGGTGTCCACTGAAGTGGTGGCGGTAAAGGCTCCATGGGCGTGAAAGAAGTCAAACAGCACTCGGTGCTCTTGCGTCAAGTTGGACCAAAATGTCCGCTCGCTTTCTCCCTCTACTTCACGCTGCGCGCACCCCTTCATCAGCCGAGCACCAAGTGCAAAAAAACAAACGCCATCTGGATTCATGCAAATTTTGCCAAAGTACTCCGGTTCACTCACGTGTCCCACATGCCCCATGCACTCGCATTTTTACGCGCATCTCTGCAAACAGCGAAACCGCATGCACGGCGAAGCGCTACATGTGCATTCCACATCCACCAGGCTCCACACTGTTCAGACTAAATGCCTTTTGCGCCACCAAACCACCAGCTCTGAGCCCGAACTTCCCAGAAACCACTCCATGCACTGCCGCCAGTTTGACGACAGCTTCAGTTTCACATTTTGACATTCCAAATGCCCATTTCCAACAACAGTCTCACACTTTGGCTATCAATTCCACACTTTGGTGTCAGAGCACGCACTTTACCTCAGTACTCCTCACTTTCGGGTTCGACATGCACGATCCTCACAAGCAGTTCTCTTTCGCGGTGTCTTGTCCACCCCACCCTCCACCTAGGACAGCGAAAGGGAAAGAGAGAGAGAGAGAGAGACGGCGCACGTGGCTCAAGTTTTGGGCTCAAGCTGGGTTGCGCCTTCTTGGCGCTACGATAGGCCCAACGCGGACCCAAAGGTGAAGGGCGTCTCTTCAACCAGGACTTCGAGCACGGTAGCCTTGACTTTGCCCGTAATAGAGATCCAGTTGCTCTTTGTCCAAGTCGTTGAAGATGGTGACACCTATGTGGGAAAACTGGGAACTTCAAAGGCCCAGAAAGCCAAGGACCTACCTGCTCTGTACGGGATGCTCGGCTTCGTGGATTTCGAGTGATAGAGTGACAGAATCCAGGTGGCAGTGTCAAACGTCAAACTCCGTGGCCGCAGAGCGCATGGGGGAAGGCATGGAACAGATCCACCCGGAGACGAGACCGACCACGAAAGGACAGGACCGTCTTGGTTGACAGACCACCGGGACCAGCCCTTCTTGGGTGGAGGCAAGCAGGACGATGATTACTACATCTTGGAGGATGATGAAAGACAAGCGGAGCTCACTACACCTGGCCTCCTGCAGGATAGACTTTTAGTCCTCCCGGCCAAGGCTCTTGAAGCTATACAAGCCTTGCCGGCACAGTGCAGAGAGGATCCGGACTATATGGGATGGTTGAAGCCAGAGTATGGGGATTGGACGCCCTCAAACACATCCTACGAATGCGGCTGGCTCTTCAAGGGAGCATTCAACTCACTAGACCAGTCAATCAGTGGATTGACATGCCGCAGCCACATGAGCTTTTGGCAGCAAATTTGACCTCGCAACAAGGGCAACAGATGTTTTGCAAACTCGGTCCTCAGGCTATGGTGTTGGATGGGGGCACATCATGAGAAGCCTGCTAAGTTCTGGGGACCTTCGACAAATCTATGCCTCCAAATCCTGCAGCAAGACGATATCCCTGATATTTTCTGGGCTTCAGAGCTGCAGCCAGTCATTGCCAAGTTGGAAAACCCCCAGGCACAGCATGATGCATCAGAGTTCCTGGTGTTGTTGTGGGAACTATGGGGGCAGACAGGCTTGCAAGGGGATTGGCATTCCTACTTTGGAGGGAGGTGGCATGATTTCGACACTATGCAACTCTTTGTGAGGATGCCGGTAGAAGCAGGGGATGGAGTTAGCTTAGAGCAGCTGCTGGCTGATTGGGCCAATGAAGCCAATGGCCAATGCCTTGGGGAAAACGTCAACCACATCGTCTTCCACATTGGGCGGTACCACCTGTGCGCCAAGGCAAAATCGTGGGTCAAACACAACAACAAACTCCAGATCCCGTCGACTTCCCAATGTGCCCAGAGAACGGCCACGGGTGATGGAGGGAAGGGCACCTTTGTCCTCAGAGGAGTCATTGCTCATCAAAGAAGACCCACTGTCTGGGCACTATGTCACCATGCTGGTGGAAGGAGATGCTCTGTGGACTGTGGATGATGGTCAATGCCCGCAGGCTCAGACGTCCATCCCGGACATCTTCCAGACGTCATGATTTGGGCATCCAGGGCGGAGCACTCCACTTTCTGGACCAGGACGATTGGCAGTTTTGAACCGCCCAAGAAACGGCCCCGGCTGACTGGAGAGAGCATTGAGGTGTTCTTTGGCAACATCACCCAGTGGAACCAGCAGTCGAAAGAGTGGATGATCCAACAAGATTTCCAACTGGTCATGCTGGTTGAAACCCACCTGCAGGGCAACAAGATGGAACAGACCCAGGCGGCACTATGCAGGAGCAGATGGCAATCTGAGTTCCTGGAGGCTTATGAAACAGGCCGAGGGGGCACAAGTGGGGGACACCTTTTCAGCTGCAGAGAAGGTCAGTCAGCTTATCGACTGCATCAATTTGATCATGAAGGCAACGGCTTCCTGGCAAATGTGCTTCAGAGGCAGCATTGGGAGCTTGTACTGGTGTCCATTTACCTCAAGTGCGGAGAGGATCTGACCTCTCGAGCAAACTCCACCATCCTGGGAGCCCTTGCCGCTTTCCTGCGAGAGCTTGCAGTGCCCTGGATTGTTGTGGGAGATTTTCAGGCGCCGCCAGAGCAACGGGAAGGACACCAATTGCTGAATGTCCTCAACGCCGAGGTAGTGTGGAGTGGACATGCCACCACGTTGCATGGAGCAGAAATTGACTATGCCTTGGCGAGCTGCAAGGTTGCTCCTTTTCTGGAAATCAAAGTCCATTGGGAGGTACCTTGGAAACCTCATGCTGGGTTGGTGCTCACAGTCAACAAAGCGGCCCCCAGACTGATCCTGCCTCAGTTGACGCACTTTGCGCCAGTGCCCAAGCTTGAGGATGCGGCCAGAGCGTGGTATGATTTCAAGCCAAATCCAAAGGTATTTTGGTCGGGGGTCCCAAAGAGTTGCGGTGTGCTGAGTGGTGCCACCAAGCTGAACAATATGCACTTCAAAATCTGCATCAGCCCAAGCAGGGACGAGGGTGGTACTTGGCTTTGGAGCTCAAACAAAGGCGCTGTCACCATGGAAGAAGGGAGACCTGGCGTACTGGGGGCAATTTTGCTCCATTCTGGCATAAGTGGGTAGCAGAGGGACGCTGACCTCCACCACCCGTCTGCACCTCCGAGCCAAAGCGGAAGACCTGGACAAACGCTGGCAGGATGCGCATGGGAAGCAGGATTTTGTTGCAGCGCTTGAGGACCTTGTGACGGGCGACAGCAGGCCGCTTACATTGCTGATCAAGGGAGCAGAAGCTAACAGGGACTATGCCAAAAAGCTGGCCCTTGAGTTGCAAGCAAAGGAGTATCAAGTCTGGTTAGCCCAAGCTGCTCTGAAGGGTCACAGTGGCATTTACAGGAGTCTCAAAGCCCCAGATGCAGTACATGTCAGGCCGTTCAGGAACATCCCAGTCCAAAACAGGCAAAGCCACAGGGAGAAGCAATGGTTTGGCCAATGATAAGTCATTGAACAGCCCCTCAGCAGTGGAGAGAGGGAACGACTTCGATGGGAGGCCATTCAGCAGGCCAGGAGATGGGAGGATCTGGACCCGCATAGTGTGATGAAGAGACTGCAGAAGCTACCTCAGAAGGCTTGTGGCCCGGATGGGATCAGCTATGCATTGCTCAAGAACTTGCCCATTGAAGGGGTGACAGACCTATGCAACATGTTCCGCAACTGGGAACTCACTGGCCGTTTGCCCGAGCAAGTTTGCACCAGGCTGGTACTGCTGCTACCAAAGAGGCAGGACATTGAGAGGCCAATCTCGTTGACAAGTGTGCTCTACAGGACTTGGTGCAAACTTCGTTGGCGCAAGTTGAAACACTGGCAGAGCAACATTGGACAGCGCCTTCCATGGGAAAGAAGCCTGCCAGGCACACAGGTGTTGCATGTAGCCCTGATGCGACTGCTCAAAAGTGAGGTCAGCAGAGCAGTTGACAGGCATGTGGTCAGCCTCCTCATAGATCTGCAGTGCTTTTACGATTCGGTTGCACTGGCACAACTGCTTCAGCTGTGGGAACCATTGGACTTCCCAGCAGTTCATATGAACTTTCTGTACGAACTGTACAGTGGACCTCGCCTCCTTCAAGCTGAGCAGGTAACCAGCAATGCCGTCCACTGCAGAAAAGGCATCCTGCAGGCTGCCCAATGGCACCACTGGTAGCCAAATTGGTCCTGGCTCCAGCGTTGGCAGACTTCACCAAGGCACACCCGAGGGCCTCGGTGGACGTCTGGATAGACGACATATCAGTGGACTTCGATGGTCAGGACGCCACACTGGTATGCAAAGAAGCCCTGGCAGGGTACGAGGAGCTGAAGACTGGACTGCAGGCAGCGGGTCTCAACCTGTCAGTGCACAAGACAGGATTCCTGACTTCAACGAATGAGTGCAAGAGGATCATCAACCTCAACAGGCAAGAGAACCAACCCCGCGCACACGACCTCCTGAAGGATTTGGGACTGGATTCGAGCGGGGGACGCCGCCGCCGCATTGGCACTCAGCAGAAGCGGCTGTTAAAGGGCAGGGCCAGAAATTCCAAGCTGGTGCATTTCAATCTCCGTTCGAGGCCGGTGAGGGTCAGAGTCTGGAAAACGTCAGTTCATGCAGCAGTCAGCTTTGGCATTGAAGCTCAGGGCATGGCGCCGCAAAGGCTCAGAGTGCAAAAGGGAGGAAGCACTGACATTGTGTTTGACCAGCAGGCCAAACTCCAAGACCC